CATCAAATTAAATTATATTGACATTATGATAAACACAGAAGAGAAAAAATACAGTGGAGTCCACTTATAACGAGTCCTGAAACGAGAAGTCTGTTATAAAGACACTATTCTAAAACCCCGTTTTTCTCCTTCTTTATCTTTGTAAATAAAATACTGCTATTGCGCAATCAGACAGTCACGCGAGTCGGTTATAACGGAATATATTGCTGATGCTGTGCACAGCGCACAGACCAATTAAACATGATATAAAACCTCGCCAGTTGAGAAAGTTGTTGGTGATCCAGCGAAACAAAGAATGGGAGAGCCCACGCAAACCAACAATGAAGGCCGGAGCGAATGAGTGGGGAAGGTGTCGCATGCGCAGACAAGCAGAACGCATCGCGTGACAGGCCAGCCCAGTCTACATTATCTAGGCATAGGCCTACCGTGCCTCTCACTCTCACTTCTCTGGTGCGGGATGGAGAGGTCACAGTGCTGTGATAGATGGAGTGAATGTGTGACGTGCCCAAGCAGACGCAACGCACCACTGTATGGTGAGGTGGGGAACAACACAGCGGACGAGTTAGCCTAGAGCCAGAGCCCCTTCTTTCTGATCGCTAACGCCGATTTGTCAACATTGCTAGTGCTAGAGAAAGAAACCTGATTCGATTTTTGATCAAGTAAGACCTAGAGATCATGTTGAACAAAATCCTCATCTGGGGAAATACAAAAAGGAATAAACAGAACGCCAAACTCATAGATTAGGCCTACTTTACTATTTCCCTTGAATTTATTACTGGATCCCTTGTAACGAGAATCCTGCTATAACGGACATTTCGCACCGGTCCCCTCCCTCTCGTTATAACAGGATTCCACTGTACATAAGAACAATAACAAGAAAAAAACAATAACACACCAGCAAATAAAAACACAACCAAGAGAGAAAAATAAAAGAGAAACAGCAATATAAATAGATCTACTATGTTATGTAGAAGACTTTTTTTCACATGAAAATAACAAATAAACGTGGAGTCAACAAGTAAAGTAAGAAAGAGAAGAAGTGAAGCAGAAGTGAAAATAACTTTCTTTCTAGATCTAAAAGTCAAAAGGCTCGGTTTCTGGGGGGGGGGTTCCGTTTTTTTATAGGCTACCACGATTTGTTCTATTTTTATTCCCTGGCGGTGTGGTTTTTGGAAAAATGCAAAAAGTCGCGATTCGCGGACCAAAAATTGTCAAAAATCGTGGCCGCGACAAACGCAGATGCTAGATAGTTCTGTAATAAGAGTGTGCTGTGGATGTGCCACTATATAAATGCAATTATTATTTTATTATAAATAGAAATGTGTCACAACACAGTGGACGAGTAAATGAAGTTATTTGTATTATCTTGAAGATTTTTTTTTAAATAACCATTTGTCTTGCATAGAAGTCAATATGTGCAAATGAAGGTGGAAGTCCCCTAGTTTCAGACATAAATTTGGCGAGAAGTTCGCACCCAAAGTTTGGTGAACTCTAAAGCTTATGGAAACTGGAAATTTACTCTTTTTTTTGGGTGCCTTTGATCAAACATTTTTCAGTAAAATCCATAGAGAAATGTATTTTTAATGTACATGAAAGGTGCTTAGCTGGGTTTTTTTAATTTATAAGAATTGCCTGGTGGATGAAAAAGTGTATGACTAGTTTGTATTGAAAATTATCCCATATAACAAAATTTATTTTCATTTTGAGTTATGGGTAACTAGCTGGTATTAGTCAATGAAATATTGTTAAAATTATCTACTCTGCCATTACAAAATAGAGCGTAGATGAAAACATTAGCTACTAAAAATTGAAGATTTTTTATAGTTTGAAGGTTCTTATGGTCATTTGTGTTCACTAGTCTGACATCTTTTATTTGTAATGAAGGTGTGTTTAAAAATTAATTATGGTTTTTGTTAGTTTTAGTAAGTGTTTTGCAATGCTCACAGCGACATATGGTCATGTGAGCGAGCAGGACACACTTTTTTTTTAAAGTTTGATAGGAATTTATTTTGAATTTTGCCCTGGTGGTGGCCGAAGCATACTCGTGTCGACTCGTGTCGATTTTGGACGACCAAGGGATCTTTAACATGCACAACTTGCACACAGGGCCTCCGAGATTTTTTGCCTTCATTTAAAAAGGCTAGGTGCTAGATCTTACCTACCCTAAGATCATGGGTGTGGCTGAAAGACAAAACTAAGGAGCCAAGGAGTAGCAGTAGAAAGGCTGCAGAAAGAGTCAGGAGCCCAGAGGAGGGGGCAAAGGGGGGGTGGGGGCAGAAAGTGGAAATGAAAGCAGATGACTGAACATGGTTAGAGAGCAGGAAAGGAGGTGAAAGGAGAACATATTTTTAGTGAAGAAAATTTTCCATCACTGTTCTCAAACCCAGGACCTATAGAAAGAGAGGCAAACACCGTAACTTCTAGACCAGGAGAGCCCCCGAATTATGGTTTTGTATTGGGTCATTGGTACATGTCATATATGATACCTTGTTTTCTAAATGTGTTGATCGGTTATTTGTGTGAGACTGCCTTTTTTCCTTTTGTTAGTCTTTTCTATTTTGGTCTTTTTCATTTTCTCACACTACAATGGTGCAAACTCACTCACTTTCAAATATATGTGTAGGGAGTCTCAAATATCCTCAAGAAATGTTGAAGATGCATTCCAACTGAGATGTGATCTATTGGGAACTAGCCCTAATGAGGGATTCTGTATCTGTGTCTGTGTTTTCACATGGCACTTTCTGCCGTAATGTCTGAGAGAACTGTCTGAATCATTTCTTGCACCACTTTTTTGTCACAGTAACTCATACAGGTTTAAAGAGAAATAACTATGGGATCATAAAAATAGGAAAAAATTGTTTTGTACCATCATTTCTGTTAAAACAATCTGTGAATAATGATTGAAATAAAATGTTTTTCAAATTTAGGCTTTCTGGGCAATCAAGATTTCGTAATGGTTAAGATTTGGCCATAGATAAAATGAAAATGAAAGGCTGTTTGCTGGCTGTTGACAGGGCGTGTGTGTGGTAGATACTATTGCTGTTTTGGCTTGTTAATGGTGATCAATGCAAAATGTTTGAAAATAACAACAGTATACACCCAAGAGGGTGCCACACTAAGTGCTCTGGTCAGCTGAGGAAATTAGATATTGCCATATATATACAGTCGAACGTGCCCTGACGGCCACCTCTATAAGACGGCCACCTGTACAAACGGCGACTTTCCATTTCCCCCCGTGCGTTTTTTCTATATAATTTAACTGTGTAAAACGGGCACCTGTCCAACGCGGCCGCGGCCACCATAATTTAACACACAACCCCTATCATACTAAGCAATAATACCTGTCTAAGACGGCCACCTTAGTGACTCCATTATGTTTTGTCATAAATTGTACATTGGCCCCTGGCGTTGTGGGCGAGCTGTCATAATCAATCACCTGTCGTTGTTGTTCGGTAGTCCCTCCAACCGATCATGTTGCGTAGGCCCCTCCCACTGTTGACCAATAGCTACCAATTTTCAACTGCTGGTGAGGTAAGCGTGTGATCCCTCATAACCCATAAGCCCCGCCCAGAACTCATACACAAATCTTAAGTGAGATGAGTGGTCACTGTTTACCGAGTCTGTAACAAAGTAACAAAGGACGTCAACATGAACTTGTTACAGAAGCGTGGCTCGTTCTCCGACCCATGTGTTTGTTTTAACATGGCACTCGGTCTTCCTTGTCTGATACATTTCGTTTTATTGTCACCCTTGTGCAAAATCAGCGACAAAATAAAAATTACAAACGAAATACAAACCAACACCAACAAAGACAACATAATGGACTACTTTCGATTGGGGCCTCAGATGGGAATGGTTTGTTTTCTTTATCTTGATCAGTCTTACCTAAGACGGCCACCTGTCTTATATGGCCACTTTTCTCCTTGACAATGGGTGGCCGTCTTACACAGGTTTGACTGTATATTGAATATCTGCGAGTCATTTGTTGAAGGGGATCTGTGACATTAAAATCTCAGTTATACTCATTTTTATTTTCCTTGTGAAACATTTCAAGAAGAAGAGATAATTTGTATGTAAACCCCTGGCACATACCAACCTTGTCTTTTTTTTTACTACATAACGTTTCATGTGTTCACCAAGGTTCAGATGCTGATATATAAAAATATATATTAGAAAAAAAATACTTTTACTCCACTGTATGGAGTTGTTCTGGCCTGACACTTTATCTGTTTTGTCTCTGCAGATACAATTGTGATCTTCTGAATTTCATTCGCTTAAATTTTACAATACTCAAATATATTAAAATTTTGTGGACATCATTTTATGAACATGTAGAGTTTTGTTCAGCTATTATTGTAATCTTCCCAAATTACTCTCTGAATGATTCTGTTTTGTGGGTGAGCTTCTGAGTGTATTTTATAGCAAGTTTGCAGGATATCTTTTTGTTCACATTGCAATCATTTTAATCCTATAACAAGCGCAGCACAATGTTTGTATCTGTTCCGGAGTACATTTGTGAGAAGACTATGTTAACGTTTCAATGTGAAAAAAAAGTCTTGTAATTAGAATGGGAAATGGGAATTATCACCAGTGATACTATGTGCATGAAAATTGTAATTATAACTGTAACTGTAACATTAATATTGTCATGAACTTAAAACAGTAATGTACTCATCCTGCTTTGAATTAAAAAAAATATGAAGATCTTGCATACATTGTTTACCTTTGTTTTTCTGAACCTTTACTTGACCTTTACACTTAGTTTGTTTTTTTTCTTTTGGCAAGCGATCAAGTTAGCTGGCTTACTGAAATAATTCTCAGTTTACAGTTTGTGCATGCAGCTCTTTATGGGGATCTTAGGTGTTAAAACATTTTCATACCATTGTTTGTGATCTGCCAGTAATTTTCTCAGCAATCTTCTTGCAGCTCTTTGTACAAAAATATTACTGATAAACTTATTTTTGCTCCATCCCATAACTTTGACATGATTTGTCTTACAGCCCCGAGCTTCAACAAGAGGGTCCTCTGTCCATTGTCACTCCCAGCTCTAGGAGAAAATTCTCATTCAGAAAGTCAAAGCCTGTCACTCAGCCCTCAACAGGAAATACACGGAAGTCTCCTCAGTTATTTTCAACACATCCCTCCATACCACAAGCTGATGAGCCAGACTTTCCACAGATCAAACCAAATCATTTCAACGGTGGTAATTCAAGAGGCTTTTGACATTTATAATTGTTTATATTTTTTAGTTCATTGTATTTAATAGTAGTTTTATTGAAAAAATGGTATGATAATAGAATTAGTTATTCCATCACTGATCACAAAATCACGGCTGTCAGATTCTACCTACAGTGCAGCCCTGAGGAAATGCTGAATAAAAGAACTGAGGGCTGTCCAGTTATTGAAAAAAACAATTTTTTAATGCTAGGCAGTGAACATTTGCGGGTGGTTAAAGGGTGTTTTTGTCCTCCTCTGTCTAACTTTTAAAAATTAATGTCTGCCTTTTGTCTCTTGTTCTTGAGCACAATTACTGTAATGGTGTGATTCCTTTCATTTACAACTGTCAGCATATGACTGAGCCTAATGAGTCACTGTGATGTAAGGGGACTTAAATTGTTGATATTTTAGTACTGATAGTGATAGTTCTTACATTGTATTGTTAATACTTATACCTACATAGTCCATGAGTATATAAATATATATAATAATCGACAAATAAAGAGTCGACAATGCCCACCTTCATAGTCCATAAGTATAATAACAATAGACAAATAAATAAAGAAATAAAGCTGTAAACAGATATGTTGGAAAGTTAATATTTTATAGTTTTAGTATTTCACTCAAAATGAAATGGTTTAAGAGTGGAAAATGCACTTGCATTCATGAAAGTATGATATTTAACCATAGCAGCTTAACACTGATGTACATAACTTACTTGCAGACTCTGACTTCTTTTCAACTCTCGATGATCATTAGTTGTTGTTGTTTTGTTTTGGTTTTTTTGGGGGGGGGTTTGGGGGTTTTTTCAAATTCATTTTTAAAAGATTCATGAAACATGAGCAAAACTGTGCTTTCTGATTCAGAAAATGACTTTTAAAAGACAATGCTGAATACTTGTAGCTAACATTTAATTTCCTTTATTCTATCTATGAACTAACGTGTTCAGGAAAAGGATTGTTTACCTGGTTCCTCTGAGTTACAGCAAATTGTTGATAGGTGCTTAACCCTTTTATTGCCTGGTTCGAGTCGGTCTCTCTGGTTGGACAATACGAATAAATAAAGCGACCTGTCAATTTGGCAATTTTTATCAAATTTTTGTTTTTTGGCTCATCACTTTGCATGTCCGTATAAAAACACATCCCCCCCCCCCCCCCCCCCCCATCCCGGGCGGTGCCACTGACTGAAGTGTCTTTACGTCATTCCCAAAGGGGGGGGACATTTCTCGTTCTTATGCACAGTAGAATTGTAAATGGGCTGATTCAACAATGTCATGCTCATAACTGTGCCTGAACTACAACAGGGAACTGTTGCTTTTTCTTTCCTAATCCTTACCATCGTCATTTTCCTCTACTTCTTTTGTATGTTTGTCATACTCTTGTGACCCGCTATTTCCCGGATGCCTTGAAAGTCGAAACAGACTTTGTGCTGTTGAAGCTAGAGAGGTGAGTGGGCGATTGGCGGGTGCTCTGGTGTGGTTTGCTCCTTCTTTCCTATCAAACAACTATCGTCTTTATCTCCCCTCCTTCCTTTTTATGTTTGTTACTCTCTTGTAACACCTCTATCCCTCTGCACTTATATGACCTAATTGTGTTGCAAGTGCCGTAAATCACTTACTAAAACTAACAGAGAGGTGAGCAGAGTAAGCCCGATTCCCTGTAAAGACTTCTCTGTTGACATCCACCCCTTGGCGCTCATATGACCTTTAAGCAGTTGCGAGCGCCGTAAAACCTCTACTAAAACTTTTTTTAAACTATTACATGTATTTAAAAAAACACATTTTCGTGTGAATTTTACTGAAAAACGTTGATTAATGGCACTTATAACGAGTCCTGAAACAACGAGAAGTCTGTTATTAAGATACTATTCTAAAACCCCGGGGTTTTTTCCTTCTTTATCTTTGTAAATAAAATACTGCTATAGCGCAATCGGACAAGCAAGGGAGTCGGTTATAGCGGAATATTGCTGCTGCTGTGCACAGCGCACAGGCCAGTTATACATATAAACCTCGCCAGTTGAGAAACTTGTTGGTGATGTAGCGAAACCTAGGACCTTACATCAACTCCTTGAGCGAAACAAAGAATAGGAGAGCCCACGTTTGCCAACAATGACGGCCGGAGCGAATGAGTGGGGAGGGTGTGGTAAGCACAGACAAGCAGAACGCATCGTGTGATAGGCCAGCCAAGTCTAAATTATCTAGGCCTACCACTACCCATACCCTCACTTCTTCGATACGGGGATGGAGAGGTCACAATGCTGTGATGGATGGAGTAAATGTGTAGTAACGTGCGCAAGCAGACGAAACACACAACGGGGTGTGGTGGGGT